ACCAACGTACCCTGCCCCACGGGAACAGATAAATAAGTAATAATAATGAGACGACAGACACAAGCAATTTATCTTTGAGTTGAAAGCACAGAAATGACCTGGAGATGAACACAATACGCAGTTTTGCTACCAATAAACGCAGCCTTCTCCATCTCTCTGCACTTCCCTACCCACCACTTTTCGCGGTCATTCATCAGACTCCTGATGAGCTGGTGTTTAAGGGATTTGCGCGCTGTCATATGTAGCATCAGAAGGAATGGCTTACGAGCATCCAGAAGGGCAGCCGAGCTCGACGAGATCCATCGTGTGCTTTGATCGTGTGTCAGAATCCATCGTTATTTTGCTGGCATTTGGATCGCCTCCTTAATTGACATTTAGTGTTAACCGAGTCCTCTGGCTGATTATTTAGCTGACAGCTGGTCAGATAGTTCCGCTTCGAAGGCCGATCTGCAATTTGCGAGCCTCGGCTGCCGAATCGCCTGACACACGGAGTGAAGCGTAAGGATGAGATCGGATCAGGGGATCGCAAGGTGATGAGTGAAGTAGGGTATTGTATGCTTGTTTCGGAGACAGTACAAATCTATATTTGAATTTAAAGGGTCCTAGCTAAGGCGGCTAGTGGACCAATCTGCTGTAGTTTTTGAACCGAGTGTGGCTAAGGGAAAATGAGATCTTCGTTTCAAAAATCTGATAGATTTTGTTTGGTTGACCGTAAAAGTTGAGCGCTGAGTGATACCCGGTAGGTGGTGCAAACAGGCCTCTAGTACGATTTGGGAGTGATAGGAAGCATTGATCAGATGGGAAAGAGGGTTTACCAAATAGGTACCTAAAACTCTGGGGCATGACATACTTCGCGGTAGCTCACACGGAAATGGGGGTTTTCTTCGGGAACCCTGACCGGAGTCTTCGATTCAAAAGTCTGCGGGGCGTAGATTCTAGCGTGACCGAATCACCCGTGTGCAGGCTTTTGTAGACCAGTCACTCAAGGCCTTCGGGTTACGATTATGTTTTTCGTTGATGCGTGGATTGTGAGTCCGTTGTTTTGGACTGGCCCTTAGTATTTTACTTACTTTATTGAGGCTGGCTCTTTGTAAAGGATAAGCCGGCTCCAGACATGATCATGAAGTTCCTTGAGAGTTTGGTATGATGGACATCCCCAGCACCATTCGGCGTTTTTCATTTTGAGGGTGCGACTCTAACCTTTGCACAACCAAGAGCGAACTGGAAGTAATCCATCGCCTCGGAAGTGAGGGGGTCAATGACCAGTCACATCGAGCTTTGTCACGACACCATCATTGGGCTTATGTGGCTTTCAAACAGGAGGGAGGAGACCAACCCGAAACCCACCACACCCTGTTAGTGCCGCCCCTGTTTGCTCGTGACTGCTTATTTGTTGCGGTATGCCCCAGCTTATTCACAGCTAACCTTCTTCGGTGAAGTTATCCCCTATCCACAACCTGGGGACGCGCCTGGTAGCATTCAGCACTGCTTAACCCGAGGCTATCCATGCACTCAATGAGATAAGCGGAACGTGGACGAGACAGCACTTTATTGGCTGGGGCCTGCTCAACTTAGGTGAGCGGCAGCTTTTCAATGAGGTGCAAAACCTTATTCCACCGTCAGAAAGAAGCTCCAGGTAATCTGCTTCTAGATCCATCTACACCTTTTCCCATCAAGCTTTAGCCAAAACTTGTAGTCTTTAAGATTCGACCGTAATCCTTTAGCCAAAACCCACAATCCTTTAGCCCTGACCCAAATTCTCCTAGCCAAAACCCACAATGCTTTAGATATGACCCGTAATCCCTTAACCTCGACCCACAAACTTTAGTTACGCCACAGTAGGCGACTCAGATAAGAAAGTATCAGAATATTCTGAATTCAACGGTTATGGAAGAATAGTTATATTCTACAAATGTTGATGTTGCAAAACTTGTTGGAGAAATAAGGTGTGAGGGTTGCATGCTGCACCACATGCTGGCTGGCGAAGGTTTAACCGATCTGCCAGTATCGTCAAACCATTTTACACATAGTACATCTTCAGTGTTTCCGTATAAGATATGATACTCCTATGAATAAAAATCTCAAATGTAACACAGACGGTACACTGTGTTGCATTCTAATCCCCTGAAATAAATCAAAAAGTGGTACCACAAAAAGTAAATGCTTACCGTTCCGTTTATCCACTTTAAGTAAACTCCGCTCTTGAGATAGGGATATATTCAAAGGCCGAGGATAATAAACACGTCACAAAATACCCCTTTAGCACACCGTTTCCTAACAAGCTTTAGACAAAACCCGTATTACTTGAGCCTCAATCGTGGTAATTATGTCAAATGTTACAGGTGTAATAAACTGATGCTAGTTTTGAGGGTGTACTCTTATGAACCTGAAAGGAACATTCACGCACATCTTTCTGGCCATGTGTAATTTGACATCGTTTGATTTCCATTTTATAGATGTCGTCGAATGAACGCCCTTGGGTAGCCGTTTCTCTGCAGGATGTCATTTATGTGAATCAGCTCGTCATTCAGGGTCTCAGGAATAGAGATTTTCTTCGCTCTGTAAGCTAGACAGTTCATTAAATTCTGTTTGTATCTTAGTGAGACGAAATTTTGTAATGTGTGTACTGTCCCACCCACGTGTGCTCACAGTAAACTCTTCTCTCCTCATTTACCACCTTTCTTCTCACGCTTTCACACCTGTCTCACACATTCTTGACTAACACATTTCATATTGTGTCTACTTCACACGTCTTGTCTTGTTATTTCCTATCCGTTCATCGCGACCCCCATAGTTTCTTGTCAAATGCACACTCTTCACACACATCCACTCAACATACACTTGGGCTTTTTATTCATCTACTAACCAATGGGACTATACACGCAAATGCTAGAAGCATTTTTAAATCAAAGGGCTGCTATACCACATAATCAGGATAATCAAGTAGTGGTAGTAGGATTCGAACAGGTCCTCCTGAAGGATTAGCAACAGCCTTGCACATGGTGGGACCACTGCAGATGTAACATATACACAAACTAGCTGTGTATGAACGAAAATAACAGGAACAACTTTCTTTAGTTTTTCCGCCGTCGCCAAGTAAAGGATCGGTGGCGCCGAGCACACAAAGCATCAAGAACACTGAAGCAAGGATAAACGCATTCTATCGTGCACCGACATTATACGGCCGGAGTAAGGCACGACAAATTAAGCTTTGAATTCCTTTGTCTGAATTACCCACTGGCCTCTCAGTATGCATTTGTTCGAGCAGCACTTTGACCAAGCTGACGGTTCTATAATTTGTGAACGAGGGCATCTAAAGCTTTATAAATATGTAAAAATTTGCAAATTAATATTAACTAAAAAGTTACAAGATAAACAATATCACCAATCTAACGACTTGGTACATTCAACCCCGCAAACGGTTCTGTTTTATCATCATGCTTTACGGCTACCGTATCCGAGAAAACACAGAGTATATTGTGACTGAAGTATTTATGTACAGCTCTTATGTACAACAGGCTCCAGGTGATTAAGGAGCACATATCACACCCATAAAGACTGAATATACAAGTTCAAAAGTTACAAAACCAGTGCATGTCGGTGCGATCCACAACGAGCATACCAGGACCAAACATTTGTTCACCCGCAAGGTCTGGCCAGGAGGATCTCAGAAACATCAGTGGTGGTGGTGCGGAAGGTGATCGATCCTGATTTCCAACTGGCTCGATTACGTGGATCGGATTACCTGACCAAATATCCCAGAAAACAATGCTAGTAGAGGCAGGTAAAGTACACGCTACACAGGAGAACATATCCAAGTCAACCACTGGTTTGGGAGAAATATGGGATGCCCAAGTGTGCAAACGACCACAATCCGAACCCCGATAAGACAGGACAGGTTNCATCCCACAATTGCATCAGTCCGGAAACGGATCGAGTCAACACGCCTCGTCGATGGCACCCTTGAACAATCAGTGGTTCAATGTGAGTTATTTCTGCGCTCAAATCCGCGCTTGATCCGAATGTCATCGTCATGTGCGACCGCTCCGAACTGAACGCGTCCAACTGAAACAGACTGAACCTTCGTTGACCATCGGCAGATGAAGTGGACAGATAAAGCTGCACTAAGGGGGACAGAATGGAATCAGAACAGATAGTACTGCATGTAGTTATGTAAACCTTCGGTTCCCTTTGATGACAACTCTTTTTGTAAGTCTTGTACAAGGGATAGTACACGCCATTACCTACGCGATACAGACCAACACGGGTATACACTAAAAAACTTTCATCGGGAAATACGGGATCTCCTTGATATGCTGAAGAGTAATCATCGAAGTTTCTCGTGATAGTATGACGAAGAAGTTTAGCCGAGCAGCTGTACGGTAACCGAACACCACGGTTTGATCCCCATTCGCAATGAAAACCCACTGGGGTATCTAAATAACAAAAACAAAAAATGGAAGTAGATACTATGCATTTTCCAGTAAGTTTCCAATGTGGTCTTTATGACATATGTGATACCAGATAAAGTGAACAATATAGAATTTTGAATAAAGGACTGTGCAAACCAAAGTGAAAACCGCAGGTGGTATACTACAATCTTGTTCAAATGGTCATGAAGAAACCGAGATCAAAGAAATCCTTTTAAGTCTCATTGCTTACCGATTATTTATTTGATTTATTTTAGCTTCAACCCAGTACTGAGTTGGACTAGTGACTGAGCGATTACTATCAACGGTACACGACTGTCTGTGGTGCGAAATTTACTAGCACAACCTAAGGTGGTTCTTGGATAGTACTGCTGTTGCCAAAATCGATACTATACCCATGGTATCAGGCTTATCAAAATGTTCTCAGGGCGCGGGCTTCTACAATGATTCATACTCATCCTCATTGTCATTGTATTGCGAAATACTTAGAAAAGAATTTCACCGATCGCTGCTAATCAATGAAGCCATTTAAGCACCTGTGGAGAACAGTCAGAGTACAAGCGATGGATTTTCCCGACTTTTGCTACTTTGTTTGAAATTCCCCAATCTACTCTTTCATATGTCAAATAAGACTCTAATAACAAATCCCTTAGACGACAGATCACCACTATCCTGATCAGCGACACTGACAAGCGGTGGATAGTTAAGTGAGAATATGAAGAAGGCCTATTACTGTTCCTTTCCATCTATCAAACAGCAGAGCAGACGAAAAATAAATTACCTAGAAAGCAAGAAGGCACAGAATCTAGAAGTAATTACGAACAATGCAGCGAAGAATCAATCATCTAGTCCCACAAAGTCCCATTTAAAGGCCCTCGGAAACGCAATCAATATAAATAAATGAAGCTAAGCCTAAATTTGCACCGCTTGAAAAGAAAATACAGACCTTGAAGAATGACTGGTATCACTTTTGCCTCTCCCGGTACGTCACACAATGCCAATATTTCTCGTCCAGGATGACGCCAAATCCAATCTTGTACCAAGCCGGGAAGCGAGGCGGTGGCAACCTGTTGAACGCCAAACCGAGCAGCATCGGTAAACGGGCGATTCTCAAACGTCTTTCTTCGTTTCCGTCCAGCAAACTGTTGTCGCATGCTTTCTGAGCGTTTGGACCAAAATATTCGGTAGGACGCGAATAGGTTGGATGCGGATCCATGCAAATCTGCTCCTGATGGCGATAAAAGTCCATGTAACATTGGCTGGATAATGAACGAAGACTGGTTTTGAAAACGACGTAAGTGCATTCGACCGTAGTCCGAGGCTGCAAGAGCACAGTAGGTGAAGATCTTGTCACAATCTACCCATAATCTACGCTGTTAATGAAACAATGGAAACCCCCGGAGAACCAGGAGACTCAGTCATATTGGTCCCGTCAGGCATCCTGGGTGGGGACCCCGAGATCATAACCGGTGGAAAGAGATTTTAAGCGATATGGCTGAGTGTCGCAAACAGTAGCGCCGGTGCATCTGCTCAATATCCTTGCAACTTCAGTCTTCATGAATTCTCTATTTTCTCCTTGAACTGAACTGAATCACCAGAACAAAGCACACAGAAGCCTATGAAAGCGCCGAGAGTTGTTTCTGTAACTGAAAAACTGCGAACAACACTTCCAGCTCGGAGAGCAACTCAACACCAACATCTCACGGCTTTTAGCTGCACGAAAAGACAAAGAATCCAACAGACAACGGTCTATCTGGTAACAGTCAAACTTTTATGATCAGCGGAATAGAACAAGGAACCATTCCCAGGTTTCTGGAAGAGTCGACCTGTAACCCCATCATCTTTAGAAAACAGGAATGTGCCTTTCACAGATAAGAACACACACGAGGATGAGGATATATATATATATAACACCAATCTTTGCAGATACGGCGCCAACATAACCATGGGTCTAACGCAAAATGTACGAATAAGAGGGAGAAAACAAAAAAAACAGTCAACTTGCGGAATAACAACTTCTTTGTTTCTATTTATTTTTGGGATCGCACACAGGAAAGGATGGTTTCACACCACTGACTTCGGTTTGATGCCATATCCCGCAGTGTCTCCAGCCACGACAATCTGAATCTTTGGGGCCCCAGCCGAGGAACCCCAACGGAAACCAGATCCGAGCATTATCTGCTTAACCCTGTGCGCCACGTCATAACCTGCCCACCCCCTGTTTCTTCCAGCCCAGACCGATACCTGCGAATAGCGCACGGTGTGGCAGAAGTTGCTCAGGTATTCGTAGGACGTGCCCTAGTCACCTAAGACGATACAGTGAAATTATTTTGCTCAACGGAAGACTATCTGATCCTAACACACGTTGTCTGATCTCATGTTTATTCACAAGATGCTCCCACGATACGCGGACAACGGTTGTCGAATATGGATAGTCGCTGGACATGATCTGCTCGGAGGCCAGGTTTCACAGCCATAGAACAACACGGTGCGTACCGTTGCACACTTCACACGCCCTTTCAGTGAAAGGGATATGTCGCGCCCGCGCCAGAGATGCCGCATATTAGCAAATTTT